CTCTCCAGCTCCATTTGTCTATTTATTAACACTTCCAGAATTTGTTATTTATTGTAGCATTGATGGGCATTTGAGGAATTTCTCATTCTGAGCCGTTATAACTAGTGCTATGGAGAACATTCTTGGTTTTGGTGAATGTGTGTGTACACTTTTGTTGAAAAATACTTAGGAATGGAAATGCTGGGTCACAGATTATATGTATTTTAGTTTAGTATATATTGTCAAATACTTTGCAGAGTGCTTATAATTAGGTACCATTTTAATATATACCTTAACAATGAATTACTCTATAATGCTTTAGCAGCCTGTGAATATCTTTCAAACACTTAATTACAGTTAATGAATCCTACTTCTAAAGTATGTCATTGTTATTTAATATCATATAAGAGGAAAATAAAAAGCAAAAATATGAGTTGGAAAGATGGTTAAGAGCACTGACTGCTTTTGCAGAGAACCTCAGGTTGTTCCCAGCATCCACATGTTGGCTCATAACCATCCTTAGCTCCTGTTCAGGGGATCTGATATCCTGACCTCCTTGGATACCAGGCACACCTGAGGTACACAAATATACATACATACAGGCAAAATATGAATAAACATAAAAATTAAATGAATAGATAAAAAAGCAAAAGCAGGGCTGGAGAGATGGCTCAGAGGTTAAGAGCACTGCTTGCTTGCTCTTCCAGAGGTCCTGAGTTCAATTCCCAGCACCCACATGGTGGCTCACAACCATCTATAATGAGATCTGGTGCCCTCTTCTGGCATTCAGGCAGAGCATTGTATACATAATAACAATAATAAAAATTAAAATAAAATAAAAAAAGCAAAAGCAGCTCATAAAATGTTGGTTAAAGGCAAGTGCTATGAAAGCCTGACAGATGTCCAGTCCCTGATCCTATGAGAAGGTGGAGGGAGAGAACTCCTCAGAGTTCTCAGAGAATTCCTCAGAGTTGTCCTCTGACCTCCAGATGTGTATACCATACACATACACACAGTAATAAAAATTTTTAAGTTATTTAAGGCATAGCACTCATTAAGCTATTACTCCTCAAAAGAAATGCAAAATCTAGGCAATCAAATAGTATTAGCTTTGCTTTGATTCTTTGTCTCTTCTGTCTCTAGCCTTTGGCCCTAAATCCTGTCCATTCCCTATCCTCTCTGCCTTGCTCTGGCCCACAGAACAAGAGTGGCTGCGCTA